CGGGCTTCGAGGGGAAAATCCCCATTTGGGGGGATGAGATGGTCGGGGTCTGGATGGGGATGGGGATGGGGATCGGTTGAACGAAAATAATGATCTGTCCAGGGATGTGAGGGCGGGGACGGCCAGGGATGAACCACAGTGGGGCGTGCCCTCCGCTGGAGGGTCCTGACTTCGATCTCTGATCTTCCTGGCGACGAGATATTTCCTCGATCGCATCCAGGGGTAGCACCTTGGGCCGGACATACCCGCTTGGTCTGCACCTGGACATTCTGTCAGCCAGCATGGCCGCTGCCACGCGTGCCTCTGGTCGCTCGGACGGCCACCTCCTCGTGCCTCGCAGCGTGGTCATCTGGCGTGTAGCTGCATTCGCCTCTCCGTCGTGCATCCCTGCTTCTTTTGAGTGCTGCGTCTCCCTCTCCCGCGTCCGTCCCCCTCCGCATGTACGTACCTCAAGCTGAGAACAACCAGCCCTTTCTGGGCCAGACGTGGTCCTTACCTCGGCGTCCCGACAGCGCGACAGCGCCCATCCTGGCCATGGACGAGTGCGTCTGACCTCCTGGCCATACTGTGATATTCTTATCACATGCACGCGCCAGTGCTGGGATGGGTCTGACCGAAGGTATTGTCAGGATGAAATTTTGAATGTCCGCTATGAGGAACCAGAGAGCACTGATGATAGGAAGAGGTGACGACGAAGAAACCGACCAGATAATCAGCCTCGTACTCATATTCTGTTAAGCGAACCGTCCCGAGCAAGTTCAAGCGATCAGAAGAATAGCTCTCAACCTGCGCTGCGAATTCTAATCCTGGCTTCGCCTCGGCGCGGGCCACATCCCTTGGTTGCACTTTGCATCTGGACTGGAACAGAAGCGAAGTGAATTCATATCAGAGCGCTAAGACACGGTGTTCTCGCCAGAACTCCAAAATCACACTCATATGCGGGAAGGGAACTCAAGCCTCGGCGCTGGCCATACCCTTCGGTTGTGAAGGGAGACGTGCGCACATGTTAACGGCGGTGCTCTGGATCTGGCGCCAACCAGACCCCTGATTTAGAACGGTTCTCTCTCCTCAACGTCAGACTCAATCTGAGGCTGCGAAGTACATCTGGGGCTGCATGTGTAGGTGAACGTGATGTTTTCGCACCTGCGCTGGGCTGAACGGCCCAACAAATTATTCATTGCCGTGCTCTCGTCCCGGCGCCTGCCACAAGTTGGGGAAGGATTGCACATTCTTAGCTTGCAGTGTGCATCTGGCCTCGCCGAAACCGACTGGCCTGGACAATTGTGGTCCATACTTTGAAATCATTATGTCCGGTAGGTAAAACTGATGGTGTCGAGCCGTCGCCAGTGCCACTCAAGCATTGCAGGACATATCTTGGCCAGAAGAAAAAATGGGCATCAAAGGTCGGCACTCTCGTCACAACACCACCCACGTTCTCCCGTAAGACTAATACTTTCGTCTCGGCGCGATGCCCAGGCTCAAAGATTCGCAGAACACGACTTGATTTCAGGCCTCGGAAAAAATAGCGAACACTCATGCCACATTCATCTGTGAACGCCTCCCCCTCCCCCCAATGTTCAAAGTTGGCGGTGGGTCTGATGAGTTGCACCTCGACCGCAGTCTCCCCCGCGCGTGCCAACCTTGAGTTTGGGGGGCAGGGGGGGTGTTCACTAATTATTTCCTTCTACCGTTTGCAATGGTGCAAGATCTCATCACGGCGCCTACAGCACTCAGTCGGTGAAGCTGGTGCTTTCACCCTGGCGCCGGCCACTTTGCTGGGGCGCGAAGCGCGCACACGGACTCGCAACGACGGTCACCTCGGCCTGGACGTCACACAACAGAAGCTCTGCCAACCAAACTCCCAAATCTAGAACTCCACCGACCCCCGCTTGCCGGGGGTGAAAATGCGTGTGAGACATTTGGCTGTCCCCTCCCTCTTCTCCCTCTCCCACAGGGTCCCGAATCTGTTTAAGCGGGTGGGGGAGGGGGGGGAGGAGGCGAGCTCGCCCACGCACCCCCAGGGCCTCTGGAGCCACCGTCAAGCCCTACGACTGTCCAAGAGAGCCCAAACAGACCGCCAAGACTGCCCCACGACGGTCAAAGATGGCTTCGGGACGGCCCATGAGGCTGCCAAGATGGTCCACCTGCTTTCCCAAAGGACCGCCGAGGAAGGCCCGAAGAAGATCATCCCAAGACGGCCCATGAGGCCCCCAAGAACGCCCCAAGACGGCCCAAGGGGGCCCCAAGACTGCCCAGAAGCCGCTCAAGATCGCCCCAATAGGCACGGAAGAGACCCCAAGAGGGTCCCACCTGAGGCGTCCCCACGAGGCCTCCAGATGCCACCAATGACCCTCCCAGAGGCTCTCACAAGACGCGCAAGAGGCCCCCAAGCAACGCCAAAAAGCCCTCAAGATGCCCCGAGAGGCCCCTTCCTGCTCCTCGCCCTCTTCCCCCTCCATGTCCTTCTCCTCTCCTGCTTTATCCCCAACTAGTCTGTCAAATCTTTCCTTGAGGGTCGGCGGAATGTCACAAGCCTCTCGAATCATTCAGCGGCGCTACATCGACCAACAGATGCCGACCTAAACCGACGTTGATGGTTGACGTCTCATGCGGAGTTGTGGTTTTGTCACAGGGACAGGAGTTCGCTGACTCGAACGAGTGACTTTCGCATCAACTTTCATCAACATCAATAAAGTATATTTCTCATATTGAAACCGCGATTCCGCATGGGAATTCCTGAACAAACACGGCACTCCGCCGAGGTCAACACTTTCCGGACGGGTGTCTCTGTCGTGTGAAAAAAAACACGGTGGGGGCAGCGAGTCAACCTTGTACTGAGGCCCCAACTCCTAGATTGACACTGCGAATCACCATTGTCGTCAACAATACCGAAGCTCTGACAACAATGTACCCGTACCCTGCTGCCTAACGGGGCGGGCTGAATCCGAACTGTATCTGACAGCCACAGCGTTCAAACTTGTTATTCGAACGGGGATGTGCTCACGAAGACCTGAAGGGCATCTGCTCACCCACGGGCGCACTAGCACATCACCACGCAATCACCATCTCATCGAACACACATTACCTCGTTTTGACTGCAACGCTGAACCACCGATGGACATATAGAGAACCCCCCCGCGGAGTTATAACCGTGGACACGGCCGCATCGGTGTCACAATGTACCCGCGGAGTCTCTACAATGTGCTGTCCCGAAACGTACTTCCAAAGGAAAGCGGCCAGCGTAGCGCACCATGGCAGCAAATATCATCATCACTTCGCACGCGAGAGTCCGCATAGGGATGAATGGCAAGAGGTATGCGGGCTCCCCGCCGTCGTCGTCGTCGCCGTCGCCGTCGTCGTCGTCGTCGTCGATGCTCTTCCGTTCGTCGTCGTCGTCGTCGTCGTCGACGTCGTCGTCGTCGTCGTCGCCCTCCCCTCAGGCGCGCCAGCCAAAGCGAAACCAAAGCGAAATCGAGCAACGTCGTAGCTGAGTCGACGGCAAAGCGAAATTGAGCAACGTCGTAGCTGAGTCGAAGGGAAGCCCCTTCCCTTTGATCCCTTCCCCGCCGGGGGGGGGAAAGTCCTGGGGGTGGTCCCGGGCCGGGGGGGAGGTCCCGGGGGGGGGGGGCAGATCCGCATCCCCCCCGGGATGTCCCGGGACCCAGAAAAGCCCCCAGACTGGCCAAGAGTGCCCCAAGAGGTTTCCAAGACGGCTCCAGAGGGCCCCGAATCGCCGAACCATCGGTCGAAGACGCCAAAGTAGCCTCCAGACGGCCCAAGAGATTGCCAAGACGCTCCAAGAAGTCTCCAAGAGCACTCCAAAGAGGGCACGAAGAGGGAAAAATCAATGATTTCTTGGCGTTTTTGACTGATTTTGGCGTTCTCGCCGTTTCAACTTGCCGACGCTCCAAGACGGCCCCAGATGCCCCCAAGGTTGGCCCAAGAGGCCTCAAGAGAGCCCCAAAATGACCCAAGAGAGCCTCAAGACCGCCCAAGATGCCTCCAAGATGGCCCCAGAGGCTCCCCAAACGGCTCCAACAGGGTGCCCAGACGGGGGGCCCGACGAGCCCTCGGCGACAGAGGCTCCCAGGAAGCCCCAAGATGCCCCCAAGAGGCCACCACGAGACCCCCAAGAGGCCCCCAGGAAGCCCCAAGAGGCCCCCCCCGCCACATTAGAGAACGCATGGGTCGCCCTCCAGGGTCGGCGGCACCGGCCGTAAGGCATTCGCAATATCATCATCACTTCACACGCGAGAGTCCGCATAGGGATGAATGGCAAGAGGTATGCGGGCTGGAGAGCAGAGCGCGGGGAGACTCGCAACCAGAGGGCACAGCGAATCCACACTGCCAAACGCGGTCATATTATTTATGGATTTCCAAAGTTCTGATTCACGGTATGGCTCGCGCTCTCTTCAGCCGGTGATAACGATGATCTTGTTGTCCCCAGTCTTCTTTTGACATCCCTGAAGCGCGCAGGATGATACCACGCAAAGTGAGACCTCTGCCCAGTCCTGTTGCCCTTTTGCCTCGCAGGGCCGCCCTCCCGAGCTGCTCAGGAGATCCCGCCTTGCCGCCCACTTTGTGGCGCAGGGGGCGGGGTGACGACGCGGCATCGCCAGGGCGGTGCGCTTCCCTCCATCCATCCAGCGCCCTGCATACCCAGACATGCGATGGATTTGTTGTCGTTTTTGGTCAACCCGTTGGCCCCAGCAGTCTCGAGTCTTTCCCCAGGGTAGCTTTCCGTCCCGACCCGCTTGGTGCTGCCTGGGGGGCCCGAAAACGGCCCCCGGAGGCCAAAAGACACCCCTGTATCGAGGGAAGGAAATTCTAAGGTAAGAGATTGGACTTCACTCGAAGCGTTGTCTTGAACAGCAGTCCAGGTACAGAGATACGAAACTTCTTCGATAAACGGGAGCTCCGAGAAAACGTCCACGGCCAAGTCCAGATCCTTGGTTTTCTCACGCGAAATCTGGAGTCCGTGAGAATGTTGGTTTTGTTCTTAAGATCTCTGATGGTTGTAGAGGAATACACCCAGATTGGAAAAACAATCCGCCCAAAGTCTGGGTGGCGATCTCGGTGACACGGCACTGCGATGCGTGTGCGGCAGAGGCAAGACGCTGCAAGTCAGAGCCGATGCAACGAGGCAAGCAACACATCAACACATCCAACCGGTCGGCCCGCCCAGACTTGAGGGGCAACGATCGGGAGGACCCGCATGGATAGGGGGGGAGACATTGATCTGGAATCGGCGATGCATCGCCGATCGATCGGTGGGCTACAGTAGGAGTTCGACCACAAGAATTGAGCAGGGGCCGACCGTCCTGGCATTCCTATAGTCCTACCATGAACTGTTCTTAGAATCCAAAATGTCTTAATAACAAAAATGTTCTTAGAACATAAACCCGACGTGTCAAAATAAAACACTTTCAACCGTATATGTTCTAAGAACATTGCGTAGAAACCACAAAAAGGTTCGTAGACATTGTTTGGTAGGGCTATAGGCTATAGGCGAGCCAGGACGCTTCGCCACTGCTTGAAAGAAAGCTTCCACAAGAAACCCAACCCTGGGAACCCAGGACGTCCATAGACTTTTGGTGTAGGGACGTCAAGCTTCCCAAAGCAGAACCATCGAAACCCAAGAAACCCAGGGAACCTTGGAGACAAGCAGGGTGTGTCTTGGCATTGGGCTTCCACTGCATCGGGCGCCTATCGGCGATGAGTGGACGATTGTGGGTCAATGCATCCCCCCCTATGCCTGTTCCCCCCTGCCTTTGCCCCTGGCAACAAGTCAGCCCGCCCAGGCTGCCGAGGCCTCGCCCGCACGGCGGATCAGCTCCGCTCGAGCGCAGATCACAGGAGTGGAACCAGGCACTGGCATGCACGGGCATGGTGACCAACGACGTTCACGTCGTCGACTTCGTTTCGGATGCCGACGTCGAGAAAGAAAATCCAGGGATTCAGGAAGCCGGTCCACCAGGACCCATTCCCTCATGCCAAGGAGCAGGAGGAGTCAGGCCGAGACCACAGGGCATGACCGTTACCCCCCAGCGCCAATCCCTGTCAGGCGGAGGGGCGTCGATCTCTCGGGGGAAGCGTGCTGGTAGGGATCGCCGTTCTCGGGAGGCTGTTCTTGACCTTCAACACGCGTGCATCGACCTTCCGCAGGTCCTCCTCGCTGGGGCTTGTCTCCCTCACCCACAGGTCCCTCCAATTTTCGAGGTTGCCGCTGAGATTTTCGTGGAGCTCGTGGAGAGGGGGCCAGAGGTGGACCATGGCTGTGAACAGGGGAGCGATCATGAACTCTATGAAGCCGATCTGCGAGTTAGGCCTCGCTTCGGGGTGCCAAAATACATGCGGAGTGAGAATTGCGCAAACGAGCACCACAATAATCTATGTATGGGGTTGTCCCCAATCCTTCAAACTAGCCCGCCGCACGAAAAAACATCGGAGGTTGAGGGGTGAGATCGCAGTGGAACGGAGACCCCCAACCGGGAAATCGTTTCGTTTCGTTCGTGTCGTGCGTGCGGGCGAGGCGAAGCTGCGTGGGTGCGCGAAAGGAATGAACCCGCCGTTGCTGGGGCGAAGTCAAGAAAAATGTTTCTCCTCCGTCCGTCGATGGCTCGCGGTGTCTCGCGGTGTCCCGCCGTTGCTAGGGCGAAGTCTAGGATTTTTTTCTCCTCCGTCCCGCGGTGGCTCGCGGTGTCCAGCCAGCCGTTGCTAGGGCGAAGTCAAGACAAACGGTTCTCCCCCGTCCAGCGGTGGCTTGCGGTGTCCCGCGGTGTCCCGCCGTTGCTAGGGCGAAGTCAAGACAAATGTTTCTCCTCCGTCCCGCAAGGGCTCGCGGTGTCCCGCGGTGTCTCGTGGTGTCCCGTGGTGTCCCGTGGTGTCCGCCGTTGCTCGGGCGAAGTCAAAACAAATGATTCTCCCCCATCCGGCGGTGGCTCGCGGTGTCCCGCTGTGTCCCGTGTTGTCCCGTTGAATGAGATCGATAATGAGATGGATGAGATCGATAGTGAGATCGATAGTGAGATCGATGTGGTGCCCCCAGGTGTCCCGTGGTGGCCCAAAAAAGGAGATCGATAGTGAGATCGACAGGTGTCTCGTGGTGTCCCCTGGTGTCCCGCGGTGTCCCGTTGAGTGAGATCGATAGTGAGATCGATAGTGAGATCGATACTGAGATCGATGTGGTGCCCCGAGGTGTCCCGTGGTGTCCCAAAAAGTGAGATCGATGGTGAGATCGACAGGTGTCCCGTGGTGTCCCGTAGAGTGAGATCGACAATGAGATCGAGAAGTGTCCCGCGGTGTCCCGTAGTGGCCCGTAGAGTGAGATCGATAGTGAGATCGACAAGTTTCCCTTGGTGTCCTGTGGTGTCCCGTGGTGTGAGATCGATAGTGAGATCAATTGAGTCAGGTGTTGGTTCCCCCCCTCTCCTCCCCCCCCACAACCTCCTTATCCCCCGAACGGTGGTCGTATAGGTCTGTACTCCTATGCACATCTCTACTGTGTCCACTCTGTCTCTATGCCGGAGGTTGGGGGTGAGATCGCAATGGATCGGAGACCCCCAACCGGGACATCGTTTCGTTTCGTTCGTGTCGTGCGTGCGGGCGAGGCGAAGCTGCGTGGGTGCACGAGAGGAATGAACCCGCCGTTGCTGGGGCGAAGTCAAGAAAAACGATTCTCCCCCGAACGCCCGTCCGACGGTGGCTCGCAGTGTCCCGAGGTGTCCCGTGGTGTCCGCCGTTGCTAGGGCGAAGTCAAGACAAATGATTCTCCCTCGCCCGCCCGTCCGTCCGTCCAGCGGTGGCTCGCGGTGGCTCGCGGTGTCCCGCGGTGTCCTGCGGTGTCCCGTGGTGTCCCGTGGTGTCCAGTTGAGTGAGATCGATAGTGAGATCGATAGTGAGATCGATAGTGAGGTCGATACTGAGATCGATGTGGTGCCCCGAGGTGTCCCGTGGTGTCCCGTTGCGTGAGATCGATAGCGAAATGGATGGTGAGATCGACAGGTGTCTCGTGGTGTCCCGTTGAGTGAGATCGATAGTGAGACCGATAGTGAGATCGACTGGTGTCCCGCGGTGTCCTGTGGTGGCCCGTGTTGTCCCGTGGTGGCCCGTTGAATGAGATCAATAGTGAGATCGACAAGTGTCCCGTGGTGTCCCGTGGTATGAGATCGATTGAGTCAGGTGTTGGTTCCCCCCTCTCTCTCCCCCCCCCCCACAACCTCCTTATCACCCAAAGGGTGGTCGTATAAGGTATGCACACTCTACTCTCGACTTTCTACTCTACTCTACTATGTTTTTTGTCGCTCTCTCTCTCTCTGTCTTTTCTGTGTTCTCTCTATCTCTCTCTCTTTCTCCCTGTCTCCCCGTTCCAACTCTGCTGGATACACTGTGAAATGTACGCTCCACTCTCTACTATATACTTCTGACGCTGGGCATGGTCAAAGACTCTCTCTCTCTCTCTCTGTTCTGTCTCCCCCTCTCTCTCTGCGTGCATGTGATTTGCATACGGTGTCTGCACTCTCGACTCCTTCTGATTTCTAGTATGTCATATCTACTTTCTAGTCTCTCTGCCAAACTCTACCCTCTACTCGCAGAGATGTGATCTCTGTTCTCCAGTCCGCTCTGTAAAGCTGGGAGCCCTGGACCCGGAACTGGGAACGTCGGGAACCCGGCCGCCCAACAAAATCGACCCGGACCCCAGAAACGGGAACCTAATATTCTGGCCGCCCTTCGAAATCGGCCCGGTACTGTCGCCTAGCCTATTCCATCTATATCCGCTAGGACCCGTTCAAAGCAAGCACTGGTTGGGGATCAAACCTTAGGAGGTCCGCACGGGTTTCTTGGGTCAGCGCTGCACCCCCGTCCCCATCGCGCGGAGCGCGCTGGGGGCGGCGCCGAAGGCGCCGCGCTTCTGGCGCCAACCCTGGCGCGATTCGCGCGCCAAGGGGGGGTGGCCCAGCGCCGACTCAAGAAATCTTCGCGAGACCTGCGACAGCTCAATATCAATGTTTTCTGTTCCGGCTTCGCTTAGACTTAGGACTACCCGCTCCGATCAAAGCTGCTCCGAAACCTGGCCCAGCCTCCGATCCAGCTGGTCCGATCGAACCCGAGGCGCGGGCCATTCCGTCGATCGATTGCACATACTTCCATCGGTCGCTGGAACAACAACTATGATCGTGCTTTACACGACCTACAAAACTTCTCAAACTCCCGAAGCAGCCCCAGGGTATTGACGCCGCAGTGTTGAAGGCCCCGTCGGGCTCAGGCTCGTTGGAGAGATGGATTCGTGCCTACGCGAATCATTTTCATGTCGGGCCCGTCGCATCGATTTAGCTGTTCATTCTCTTGCTTGCGATTCTCATGTTCTGCCTCTCCTCCTTCCTTTCCATTTTCATCCATGGGGTTTTGGGGTTCGGCCCCGTGACCCAAGAACGGGCAAGCGGCCCTTGGGGGGGACTGCAAGGGCGGGAAACAGCCCGAATTGCCAGCGCGGTGCAGGAATGTCTTGCGCTTGTGAGACAAAGCGCGCCCGGCATCATGTGTTCCAATCTTTGCTACCGTTTGGCGAGCCTCGCTGTTTGTTCTTTATTTCTTTACTTGTTTTTTTCTGTCTCTCTTTCTCTCTCTGTCTCTCTCTTTATCTCTCTCTCTCTCTCCTTCTCTTTCTCTTTCTCTCTCTCTATATGTATTCAGTGGAAGCGTAGGATTTGCACAATTGACGCACTGTCCTGGCACCCGAATCTACCGTTCGTGCCACGAGGGCGAGAGAACGGAAACATCTTACGGGGTCCCTGGGTGGCTAATAGGGCTTCCGTGTGGATTGTTGCTCCGATGATCTCATTGCCTCCGTTGCTCCGCGACCGGCATAGATATTTCTGCGATTGCAAACCTAGCTGCCCAATCACTTCCCGCGCCCGCGCCCGCGATCCGCGAAACATGCCCACTTCCCGCGCCCTCTTCCTGCGCCCGCGTCCCCCGCCTGCAACACGAGCCCGCAACCCGCGAGGGTGACCTGCGCCCGCGACATACGCCCGCGACCTGCACTTTGCTTGCCGCACGAATTGTGATATATATATATATATATATATAAGAGAGAGAGAGAGAGAGAGAGAGAGAGAGAGAGAGAGAGAGACTGACAGAGACAGAGAGAGAGACCCACGAAAGCCATGGGATACCTCCAAGAACGCCACTGGAGGCCCGCAAGAGGGCCCTAGATGGCTTCAGAAGACCTGTGGAAGGCCCCAGCTCCCCAAGGCGGCCCAAGAAGCCCCCAGGACGGCCCAAGAGCGCCCCAGGACGGCACAAAAGAGCACCAAAAACGACCAGACGGCGTTCTCCTACGAAATACATCAAGCTGACCCGACGATCTTGGTTCCACGTTTGAGGCTCGAGGTTTCAGTAGCTACCAGATCGAGAGAGACAGGCAATGGATCTAGATTCGAAATTCGACGATCGAAGATTTCCTGAGTGCCTGGAGCCCTCCAGGCATTCGGGAAGCGATCAAAAATCGATGTGTTCGGAGCTACTGTGACTTCTTCGGCGTGTCATGGGAACGCTCCTTACTTCCTCAAAGGACCTTCGCGCGCGAAAAAAATCAGCATGATTTCCCCACTCCTGCGCACAAGCGTGCCAGCGCATCGTCCGAAAGCGGTGTCAGCAGGCACCCGGGATATCGGAAAAATGGGCGGGTCGCCCATCCAGGCCTCGAGGTCCTCCCTGCTGAAGAAAGCGATGATTTATTGCTTTGCCAGGGAAGCGTCCAGAACAAGGCGCATGGCGCGAAGCGCCAATGCAGTCTTGTATATATATATATATATATATATATATGTGTGTATGTATATATGTGTATATATATACACACTAGAACCTTCGCGCGCGCTTCGCGCGCGCTTAGGTTCTAGCCAACCCCAGCCTTGGACAAGGTCACAGCTGCACGTATGGAAGGCCCGCAGATCGTGCGAACATGAGTTCAGGAAGTGCCAATCGCGCAAATAGGCCAAAGACGCTATATGTATGCATGTATGTATGTTTGTATCCACATATATATGTGTGTATATCGATATACATGTGTGTATATGTGCATGCACACATACATACATCCATACATGCATACATGGATGCATGCATGAATACACACGGCAAACAAAACATAGATACGTTCATACATGCATACGTTGGAAGGAAAGGCGGCAACGTGCTCCGACAGCGCGTTTCCGGAGCATGTTTGGGGACCTCGGTAGGCAATTTTGAAGCCTCTCGGAAGCCGTTTTGGGGTCTCTGGAGGCCTCTTTGGGGCCTCTTGTTGGCCTTCTGGGCTATCTTCGGGGC